TCTCATCCACCCTCCCACCCCCCCACCAAAAAAAAAAAAGAAAACCCATAGGGGGTACAGGCACACCCCTAAAACTCAGAAAACTCCTTGCCACACTTCTCATTGATGGAGACTCGGATCTCTTCCTCCTCATAGTCGTCAAAGTTACTTGTGTCCCCAGGGCCTTTAAACTTTGGTATGAAGGGAGCTTCCACCTGGAGAGGGGTCAAGAACCACTCAGACCTCAGCAGTCAACATAATTATTGCTACAACAATAAATGTGAATGGGTTAACATTCATGAGATAACTTACTCTGACCCAGGCCTGAGCTTAGCATTAGGGTGTGGACTCAGCTTAACAGCCCAAGAACCTTGTTATAGCCAACTCACTGATGGGGAAATTACTTTCGGGGAGGGGGGGTCCTCCTGCCTAAGGTCACAGAGTGGCCAAATGGCTCCACAATTCCACTTCTTAACTCCTATTGCTCTAAACTGCCTCATCTAGATTGACCCAGACCCTGCAGGATTTTTTCAAACTCCTCTTTCCTTTCCACCTCTCCACTGGCAACACTCCCTGGCTCTTGGCCTTCCCCTCAGAACCCTCAGTACACGGGGGGATGGGTGGGGGGGCCCCACCTTCCTCTGGTAGATAGCAATCCAGTCAGTCGTGGCAAACCACTTGTGGTTCTTGATGTCATTGACCCCATTCTTGAGGTTCCCAAAGCGTTTGGTGAGGTCAACCTGCAGAAGATTCCGCAGCAGATCCTTCAGGTCAGAGCTGAAATGGGATGGGAACCGCACCTGGAGAGGGGGCAACACAGACAAGTTGGGAAACTGGCTCAGAGCTTGGGGAGCCCAGAACACTACCTTTACCATCCAAAGTCTTATCGGGTGGAGGATGCTAAACCGGAGTGTGCATCGGAAGCCCATTGAAACAGCTTCTTGGGCCTGCTGGAGATTCTCATTCAGGAGGTCTGGGTGGGGCCTGAGAAACTGTATTTCTCACTGGGTCATGTTGATGCTGCTGGAGAGGGGCCCACTTTGAGAACTGCTGCTCTAAGGTTCCCATTTTAGAGAAGAGGAAACTGAGGCTTGGGAGGGTTAAACAGCTTGCCCAAAATCACATAGAGGAGCAGGAGCGGGTAGTTCCATCTTGGGTCTGTTGGACTCTAGAACTTCCATTCTTAGCCACTGGTTCCTAAGGTGGCTCTGCTGGGGTCTGGCGACTTCTGAAATATTCATGTTTCCAAGAGAAATCATTGTTTTTCTTTTTCTCTCTATCTCTATATAGCTATAGCTCTTTTACTCTTTAAGGCTCAGTTCAACTCTTCCAGAAGCTTTCCCCAAATGCTTTGAGCCCACAGCCTTATAGACAAGCAGTCACTGGATTTACAGCCATGAGAACTGAATTCCAGCATTGCTCTGCCTGTAACATGCTGTGTGACCTTGACCATGGCCCTTAACCTCTCTGGGCCTGTGCCTGCCTCTCTGGCATGGGGCAGATATCCTGGGGTTACATGAAGGAGATAATCCCACTGAGGGTGCGTGGGAACTGGAAAACGCTAAAAAGAAGGGAGCCACGCTCATCTCCACTCCCGCCCTGAAACTTTTGTGGCTTTTCCTTTTCCTTGTTTCTCCCACCCCTGGGCCATTTTCTCGGCAATTTCTATTCTGCATAATGGCAGATACCTCATCTTCCCTTTTGTAAAAAAAATGTATTTATTTATTTTTTGAGGTGGGAGGTAATTAGGGTTTTCTTAAACTTATTTATTTACTTTAATGGAGGTACTGGGGATTGAACCCAGGACCCTGTGCATATTAGGCATGTGTTCTACCACTTTAGCTATTCCCTGCCCCATCTTTCCTTTCTCAGTGGCCCCACTTTGCAGTTGGTGATTCTCTCAACTTCCCTGAGAGGCAAGTGGCTGGTCCCCCAGTTCTGAGACAGATGAAACTCAGAGAAGCCAAGACATTTGCCTGAAATTTCAGAGCCGAGACTCAGAGACAGGTCAGCCCACCTAGGCTGAGCTAGGAGCTACTCCCCCATTTCCTGGGCCAGATGGAGGGATGGCTGCTCCTCCTGGTGAGGTAGGTGAGCTGAGGGCAGAGGTGGGGTTCCCAACCTCTTTTGGGATGAACCAGACATGTCTGTTCTCTGCTCTTCCAATTCCTCACTCCCTCAGAGTGCTGGGGTGGGTGCATCGGGGCCCCCGGCACTTAATGCGCTCCAGGGATCTAACAGTTTCCCCACCCCTTCCCCACCCGCTCTGAGTTAGGAAGTCTGCATCTGGGAAAGGAGGCAGGGGCCTACACCCTATGTGACTCCTGGGAGAGGTCTGGGGTGGCACCTGGGAACCCAACATACTCACTTTTTTGCTCTGAAACTTGTGAAAACTCATGCTAAGGGGGCTGAGTAGAAGCGAGAAGAGCCTCATGACAGGCCAGGCAGGAGTCTGGATGAGGCTTGGGGTTTTGGAAAACCTTGGGATTCCGACACTATGGGTCCAGGACCAGACAGCAAGGCTGTGTGAAGGGGTGGCTTCAGCGAGCATGGCGGGTATGCCTGGCCTCACTGCCTGGTCTGACATAATGAACTTCTAGATTGTTCTGACAGCGAGCAGGGCTCCTCAGTGAGCAGGGAAGGGTCTGTCTCAGGGTGAAGCCCCCTCATCCGGGCCTCACCTTCCCAGAGACAATCTTCTCGTAGATCTGGATGGGCTGGTCCGCGAAGAAGGGCGGGTAGCCTGCAGCCATCTCATAGATGAGAACCCCCAGGGCCCACCAGTCCACAGCTTTGTTGTAGCCCTGGAGTGAGATGGGGGTGCAGGTGAGGGGAGAAGGATAAGGAGGGGGCACTGGTGGAGCAGGCCTCAAGGCAGCAAGAGGGGTAGGGAGGCGCCTACTTTACTCAGGATGATCTCAGGGGCCAGGTACTCGGGGGTCCCACACAAGGTCCAGGTGCGGCCTTTCACACGCTTGGCGAAACCGAAGTCCGTCACCTGTGGGCACAAGAATGGGATGTTGTCTGGATGGTGGGGGAGGGCTCAGGCCAAGGCCACTGGGGGCCGCCCCTCACCCAGCCCAGTTGGCACCTGAATGTAGCCCTGCTGGTCGATGAGGAGGTTCTCTGGCTTCAGGTCCCGGTAGATGAGATCGAGCGAGTGCAGGTACTCGAAGGTCAGGACGATCTGGGCTGCGTAGAAGCGGGCATGGGGCTCACTGATGGGGACAAGCAGGGAAGGGATGGGTGAGTGTGGGCGGCCACACCAGCAGGGCCTGCCCGCTCCCCAGTGGTCCAGCAGGTGGGCCTGTAGAGCTGCCTCCAGTCCAGCTACCCAAAATGCATAAGCAGAACAGCCTGATTCATATATAGCCCCAAACTGGAAACACCCCAAATGTCCATCAACAGAGGGCTGGAATCACAGATTGTGCTAGATTCATACAATGGAATCCTACCCAACACCACCACCAGGACAAATGATGAATATACCCAACAATGTGGCGAGCTCTCAAAATGATTATGTGAAGCAAGAGGAAAAAAGGGACAAAAGAATATGGACTGTGTGATTCCATTTATATCAAGTCCAAACCCAGACCAAACACATTTACGGTGTTTGAAGCCAGAAAGGACATTTGCCTCTGTTGGGGCAGTGATTTGCCAAGAAAGGCATTCGAGGGAATTTTCTGGGGTGGTGGTTACACAAGTGTGTGCAGCTGTCAAAACCCATGGAACAGAACAGTGAAAACCTGTGCATTTTATTGGATGGAAAGTGCATATCTACGTAAATAAATAAAATAAAACGATAGCACAAATTTAGAAATGACATAAAATTGCCCACTTAAATGGTGACACCTAAGTCACTATGTTTGTTTTCTGTTGTGGTAGTTGAGACATCGCAGATTCCTCAGCCCAGGGGGAACAAGAACCCACAGGGACCCTGAGAGGCCACTTCCATGGATGACACCTGTGGACACCCCCAAGCCCAGTGCGGCAGCGGGGGCGGCTGGCTCACCTGAATCTCCCGATCCGCCGCAGGTGTGAGAACATCTCCCCACCGGGCACGTACTCCATGACCATGTATAAATTTGAATTGTCCTGTGGGAAGCAGTAGTTGATCAGGGCACTACTCCCCCAGCCCTGGGCCCCATCTGATGGCCTGGTGACCTTACCTGGCAGGTGTTCAGAAATAAAGTGAGGGCAACAATCTTGGCTCCCATGTGAAGCATGTTCCAAGCACCAGGCACTCTTCTCACTGACTACCTGTCTCATTTCCTTTTGCCCGTGAGAAAGATGGGGCAGCCATCCTGCTTACCGGGGCCAAAAGTGAGGGCTAGCTCGAGGTACGCAGAGGACCTGGCCAGTGTACCCAGGGTGCAGAGAAAACTCCATGATGGCTCGTGTCTGTGACTATCTTGAGCAAGGCTCTTGGGGCCATAGTTTTGTCATCTGCCAAATGGGACTGGGATGGGCTACAAAATTTGTGTCCCCCCGCACCACGCCAAAATAAAAGTGTGAGGCTTCTTTTTAAAAATGATTATGAATTTCAAGACGGTGGCAGCTGAGCCTTAATCCAAGCGTGGGGCCCTTGTGACTGCTGGGGTCACAGACCCAGAGTGGCCTTTTCCATCTCTCGCAGTCATGGCTTGGGACAGCACCCC